CCCGGGGGGGGGGGGGGGCCGGGGCCCCCTCGCCCCCCCCCCGCGGGGACGCCGCGTCCTTGGCCGCCCATCGCACCCGCCACCCCCATTGCACCAGCACCCTGACGGCGTGGGGCGCCCCGGGGCATCTGGCCGGTCGGTGCACCCCAGTTTGGGGCACCCTGTGCCCCTGGCAGATGATTGCACCCCAATATCTCAGGGCACCCTGCATCCCCGGGGGGTTACTGCACCCATCTTGGGGTACCCCAAGCCCCCACCGGTCCTTGCCCCCTGACATCTCGGGGCACCCCGCATCCCTGGCTGGTTACCGCACCCATCTTGGGGCACCCTGTGCACCTGGTTGGTTGTTGCACCCGCACAGCTCGCCGCACCCCGTGCACCCAGCTGGCTGTCACACCCAGGATGGCTCAGAGCACCCCGACCCCGGCTGGTCCTTGCACCCTGTCCTGGGGCACCCCAAACCCCGGCTGATCGGGGCACCCTGACATCCTGGGGGGTCCCAGTCCGTTATTGCACCCCCAGGGCTCGCCGCGCCCCGTGCACCCAGCTGGCTGTTGCACCCCAGACGGCTCGGAGCACCCCAACCCCAGCTGGTCCCCGCACCCCCTCCAGGGGCACCCACTGCCCCGCGGGACTCACGTTGACGATGGCCTCCTTGGTCTGCGCCATGTCCGAGATGACGCCGTCGGTGATGATGAGCAGGACGAAGTACTGGGAGCCATCCAGCACCGCCGCCGCCGAGCTGGGGGGGGACCCCGTGAGTGACAGCGGGGTGGGCACAGACCCCCCTGGGGGGGTGCTGGGACCCCCTTACCGGGCGACGTGGTTGACCACGGGAGCGAAGTTGGTGGGGCCGTAGAGCTGGACGCTGCGCAGGCTGCGGTGATACGCCTCCAGCACGCCCTCGATGCCGCTGCACGCCGGGTTGGCCGCGTCACCGTTCTGCAGGACGAGGAATCCCGGTGACAAGGACGATGCCGCCGTGTCCCCAACCCCGTCCCCCCCACCCCCGCTTTGGGTCAGACCCTCACCAGCGGGAACTCGTGGGACACGCGTCCGTCCGGCGGGATCTTGGCGCCGAAGCCGAGGGCGGGGAACATTTTGTCGCTGTCGTAGTCCTGGATGATCTCGCCCACGGCTTTGAGGGCCATGGCGTAGGCGTTGAGCTGGTAGGGGCTCAGGTAGTGCAGCGAGGTGGACTGCGAGGGGTTCCCTGCGCGGGCGGGGGGCTCAGCTGCGCCGCACCCGCCCCCCATCAGCGACCGAACGAGCCCCCTTCGTTAAATGACGCCGGGGGGGGGACACGCGGGCCCGCGCTCACCGTTGGACGCAGTGAAGTCGATGGCCACCGTGAAGTTGATTTGGGTCCTGGGAGGGGTGAAAGCGGCTTTAGGGGCCTGGGGTGGGCGATGCAGGATGTGACCCGTGGGTATGGGGGGGGCAGCCCTCGGCCCGCAGACCGGCTTGCGCCCAAGGGTGCATCCACCCCCCTCCAATTCCCAGCACCCCCAAATCTCCCTGCGCTGAGCTTTCACCCCGCCCTGCACCCAAGCTGTGGGTGCTGGGGTCACCCTGCCCCGGTCCCCGCCGGCTCGGGTCCAGCCCCCAGGACACAGATGGGGAAACTGAGGCTCGTGTCCCCCGCTCCGCGCTCACCCGCCCCTGATGTAGTCCAGGAAGGTGTGGTCGGACTCCACCGCGAAGGACAGCAGTGTCACCTGCCAGGGACAAGGGGCTGAGCAGGGGACAGCGGCTGCACCCCCGGTGTCCCCTCCCCGCGTCCGTCCCCCCCCGTCCTCACCGTCCCCGAGTTCAGGTACTTCTTCTTCTTCATCTTCTTCCTGGGGTTCACCACCTGGGGGGGCGGAGGGGAGCTGCTCCCCACGGGAGCCGCAGCACCCCGGGGGGCAGAGGGGCACCGGGGGGACCATAACGCCCCGGGGCGCGGCACAGGGGGCTGTGGCACCCAGGGGTGCGGCATGGGCACCCCGGGGACTGAAATGCCCAGGGGTGCAGGATGGGGACCGTGACACCCAGGGGTGCAGGACGGGGACTCTGGGGATGGTAACACCCCAGGGTGCAGCATGGGGACCCCGGGCATCACGACACCCAGGGGTGCAGCACAAGGACCACGACACCCAGGGGTGCAGCATGGGTGCCCTGAGGTATGCAACACCCAGGGGTGCAGGATGGGGACCCTGGGGATCCTAACGCCCAGGGGTGCAGCACAGGGGGCTGTGGCACCCAGGGGTGCAGCACGGGAACCACGACACCCCAGGGTGCAGCATGGGGACCCCGGGCATCACGACACCCAGGGGTGCAGCACAGGGACCGTGACACCCTGGGGTGCAGCACAGGCACCCTGAGGTATGCAACACCCAGGGGTGCAGCACAGGGGACACCGCACCGGGGTACAGAGGGACACCCTGGGGGGGTGGTAATGCCCAGGGGTGCAGCCCTGGGGGCTGTGGCACCCAGGGGTGCAGCCTGGGCACCCCGGGGACTGAAATGCCCAGGGGTGCAGGATGGGGACCGTGACACCCAGGGATGCAGCACAAGGACCACAACACCCATGGGTGCAGCACGGGGACCTTGGGCTATGTAACGCCCAGGGGTGCAGCACGGAGACCCTGAGGACCATAAAACCCAGAGATGCTGCACAGGGACCATGACACCCAGGGGTGCAGCATGGGCACCCAATGGACTGCAATGCCCAGGGGTGCAGGACCGGGACCGTAACGCCCAGGGGTGCAGCATGGAGATGCCAAGGACCAGAAAACCCAGAGACGCTGCACAGGGACCGTGACCCTGGGGTGCAGCACAGGCACCCTGGGGACTGTAACACCCACGGGTGCAGCAGGGGCACCCTGGGGTATGTAACGCCCAGGGGTGCTGCACAAGCACCCAAGGGACTGCAATGCCCCAGGGGTGCAGCACAGGCACCCTGGGGACCGTAGGGCCCAGGGGTGCAGCACGGGGACCGTATCACCCGTGGGTGCAGCTGGACCCCCCTCTCCCTGCCCCGCTCCGCGGCCTCACCTCGTAGACGTTGAACTGGCTCTGTCCCCGCGCCAGCTCCCGGTAGCTGGTGGTGAACTCCCCGATGAAGTCGTGGCTGCGGGGCGAGGGGGGGGTCACCGTCAGCCGGGGCGCGGGGCGGGGTGGGGGGGTCCCCAGGGCCACCCCCCGGCTCACCTGCCATCGCGGTCCCAGTCGTACACCTCCACCTTGATAGCTCTGCAAGGCAAGGGGGGGTCAGGGCCACCTCCCGGCACCCCCAAAAACCCCGGACCCCCACCCTGGGGGCTGCGATGGGTCCCCGGGGCCGCTCCCGGTGCCCGCTCCCCGTGGGTTTGTTTTGACGCCTCCGTGGGCCTTTTCCTGCTTCCTCCTCCTCCTCCTCCTCCTCCTCAGGCTTTTTCGGTGGGATATTTTTATCCGCCGTTGCCACAGCAACGTCCGACATGGGGCCAAGCCAGCGGCGCGACGCCGCGGAGCTTTGTTCACCAGGACACGCAGCCGGTGACTCCGGTTTTGGGGGACATCCCCCCCGCCCCGTGACGGCGATAAAGCCCATTGCCCAGATGGGTAAACTGAGGCACGCAGCGTGGGCAGGCTGGGATGCCGCAGGGCTTGGGTATTAGCGTAGGTACCACAGAGGCTGCGGGAAGAGGGTGCAGAGCGGCCGCCCTCGCCTGCCCCGGAGGACCCGGCGCTCACCGGTCGTAGTCACCGTTGCAGAGGGCGCGGACGGGGATGGCGAAGGCCTGCCAGACCGGGTTCAGCGTGTTCCGCACCACCTCCGTCTTGTGGCAGATGGTGAAGCTGGGCGGGGGGACAAGGAGGGGGGACACAAGGGGGTCACCCCCTGATGGCAACACCCCCCCCCCCCGCGGGGATTTTTTGGAGCCCCCCCACCAAAGCCAGCCCAGCTCCACGGGGACATCGGAGGTGTCCCATGGCCAGGGCTGTGTCCCCCTTGCTGTCACTGCCTTTTGGGGGGGTGTCACCGCGTTTTGGGGGGGTGTCACTCACGTCCCGTCCTCGTTGCTGCGGTAGAAGACCATGAAGGGGTCGGATTTGCCGAAGAAATCCTTCTTGTCCAGCTTGTTGGCGCAGAACTGCAGCGTGGCCACGTCCTGCGGCGGGGACGGGGACGGGGTCACCCACCCGGCACCCCCGGCGACATGGGGGGGGCAGGGTCCTGGGTGGGTGCTGCTCGGCGCGGGAGGGGAGGCTGAGACCCCCACGGGACACGCCATGGGGACGGGTCAGCCCTGACCCTCATCTTCCTCACCCCGGAGTGAGGAAGGCCCAGGGGGTGCAGCCGGCGGGGGGGAGTGTCTCAGCCCCCCAACATGGCACTGGGGTGTCCCCAACCTGTCCCCCGGCTCCCCGGCTCACCCGACAGTTGCCCAGCTCTTCGGCGAGGAGGATGATGGTGCCGCACTTCTTCTCGGGGACGCCGCTGCCGGGAGGGGCCGTGAGCCGGGGAGGGGGGGACATGGGGCCCCCGCTGTCCGTCCCCCCCCCCCC